TCTGTTAGCAAAAAAAGCTGAATAAGGGGTGAGTTGTCCCTTAAATCAGTTGACTATTAATCTTTTAAAGGTGAACCTAAGAGACAGTTTTAACACAGACAGAAACACTTGTCATTCTTACCCAAAGTCTCTGCAATGACAGTTATTTTCCACCAGCCCACTGCATTTAGCCAGACACAAAACACAAAGCTGACATTCAGCATGATGAAAAAGCTTCAGCCTGTTCTTTCTGATGTGGCATTTCAGTTTTAAATTATTGAATTCATCTTACAGCGCTTTCAGGACAAACCATAAAGCTTTCCCTGTGCACTACAGAGCTGCTATCAAACATAACAGGCTCCACTCCAACACATGAAAGATGTTTAAAGTAATACTCTCTGTGGATTTTCAAACTTATGCTGTCATGGCATCACCCTATATTTTCACAGGAGTCCTTTATTCTGCTGAATCTGTGCAGTGTTGATTAGAACATTAATCTGGAATCTCATTTTCTCATTGGCTATCGGTTTAAGGCTTTAAATGGATCATCTAGACATTAGTCTGGTGAACATCCTCAGGGGAAGCACAGATCCCAGGTCATGAGAATCTCACCCGGACTCTAAAACTATGCACACTAAGTCTCCGGCTATGCTTCCTCTCAGGAGACACTAAGGTCCAAAAAGTATGAAAACAAACAAAGACAGATAATATACAAAAAAATGGAAGCAGGTTTTAGTAATACCAAAAACTACAAATTATTCATCTGTGCTGCCGTTTCAACTCCCTTCATTTAATTTTAATTTCAGTAAGTAAAACGTTTATTGATTGAATTACTGCAGTATAAAACAAACTTTAGAAACATACAATCGAAAGGATTGTAGCTGTATGTAAAGCAGCCATGCAGTTGAATGAAAAGGTACCAAAACCTGTTATCTTGTCTAATGTTTTAAGTTTTGTTTAACGTAATTTTCCCTTCTTAAAGCATTGATGTCTATATTTCTAAGTGAGTAAATATGACATTTAATTAGTGCTTTTAAAAATTGGTATTAGCTTTTTAACCAGTGCTTAAAGGAAAGGTCCGGTCATATTCAGAGTTCAAACTTCTGAAAGTGCTTTAAATATGAAATTATTCCATACTGTTCAATAAATGATCAGTGTTTTTAATTAAGTCTAATTTTCATGTGAATGTGCTTTACTGGAGGCCTCCATCTTTGCCAAAGAACACTACTGCCACCTACTGGTTTGTGACGTCACGGTGCGGTATCGGCTGTTCATCAAGTCCCAGTGCTGTATCTGGTGTTTGTCACAACGCGCTATTATCCAAGTCATCTTGAAAACATTCTTCTTCCAAATGTTGGCTACATATTACGGGTTTTTTCTCTGGCCAGAAGTTCGATGGCAAATCCTCCCTCTTCAAGTTGGCAATCCAACGACGAACCCGTCCGTGGAGGCTCAGGAATTGGAAAGGTGAAATAACTCTTTTTGTTTTTACTTTTACCCGATGTATTCCAGCATCCAGCTGCCATGCACGTGGGCATAGTCAGTTTCACTATAGCTCTGGTGAATTTCAATGGTGAAGTCCTCTGAAAATCTTCAATAATTGTTGTTAATTGCAGATGTGTCTAGTAGTTCCCATTGATTTTGCTTGTAAAGCGGGAGAATGGCGCTAGGCTTACCGCACCGTGACATCACTGCTGGAAGATTGCAGGAGGGAGTGGTTACTATATTTGGGCAAAAATGGCTGCTCCCAGACTCAGTGATCGTAATGGAAATTATTAATTTTATTTTTTTAATTGATTAACGCTAAATTCATTGAATTACTGCAAAAATATTAGTTTTTGGTATAGATAATGATCCATTGATTATTCTTGCTGACTGGACTTTTCCTTTAAACACCTATTAAATGATTCAAAGAATATTTTATTTAACTATCAAATATAAAAAAATACTATGGAATATTAATAATGAGCTAATTTAGAGTTCATGAACCAACAATAAACCAGGGTTACAGCTCCAGCAGAAAGGAAAAATTAAAAAGATTTCACAAAGAGAATACAGGCTTGACTTGGGGTAAAAGTCTTGAGATTTGTGATTGTGATTCATTTGTGATTAAGCTGGACTTTCTGGGGTTTAAAGCCTATCTGGAGATTAGAACTGTCATGATCTGCCCTGATAGCTGACCTTAATTGTTCAATTCATTCAACTTGCCTTACTTTGCCCGGTTCCTAATTATTCCTCATCTTATCCTCCTGCATCTGTTCATTTATATCAGATCATTGTTTGATGTTTGAAAGATTGTTTTGTTAGTTTTTGTTATTCCAAGGTTCATGTTCCTGTCCTCAGAGGCCAGTGGGTTGAGAGGGTTTTGGTGTTTGTCTTGTCGTCTCCTGATAGTGTCCTGGCTCTTTCCCGCTGAGCGCTCTCTGTTCTTGTTTTGGCTCAGCTGAGGGGAAGGCTAGTTCAACGTCCCATAGCCCTGGCTCCTAGGTGGAGACTAGTTTAAAGTTTCGCAGCTATTCTGGTACCATGTCTTGTCTCTGTCCCTCAACCACTGAGCCTGTGGATTCCTGGAACCCTGGATCTCTCTGTTCCTGTGTCAGAACCCCTGACCGGGCTACCGACTCCTGGATTCCAGAACTGTCCTCTCTGATATGTTTTTTTCTGATCTAGATTGGATTCCTGCCTGGTCACTGTGGTTGCTGTGTCGGTTACACTCCGGGCGGCTCTACGTCGCATCTCGTTTGGCAGTGCATTGGCTAGATCCTGCCTTCCTCAGAGAGGATGGACTGGCCTGTTAAACCAGGTAAGTGACTCACACAGATAATCATCTCCGTCAGATGATTGTGGTCACTAACCTGTGTTTCTCCCTTCAGAGTGTCAGTGAATGGGTGGTCTGTCCTGTTTCATGACAAGGACAGACTATAAGACTTGCTCTAGGTCTTAAAATCAATCCAATGAAGCCTAATGCATACAATATTTGTCAGAAAATTATTATTTTTTTTTTATTGGACTTGTCATTCTGGGAAATGAAGAAAAGTGTTGGTTTTTAGTAACCTATTAGATAAGTTATTTGTGTAATTCATGACACATTAGCGCAAAAATATATATATATATATAGATGTTTAAAAAAGTTATGTAGATATACACTTGGTGTTAAAGGGTTTAGTCCCTGTAAGAGCTTCAGAAAGGCCTTTTGACCGATTATAGGTAGGGCTATGGAAAGTTAAAGGGGCATTGTCACCTACTAAGCCCCCCAAAAAATGAAAACCATGATCATGCTTAAATATATATGCCCAAGGACTCATCCTGATCATGTTTACTTAGTCCCTATTAAGCCTAAAAATAGTTTTTGCACCAGGCAAGAATAGCAGATATCAACATTGTTGTACACCACCGCCATGTGCTGGCAGTAAATATTCATGTTTCCATCAACTGATGTGGTTATGATAAACTTAAAACACTGAAGTTATCTAACAAATGGAATAAAAATTACATGTCATACAAAGGAATACAATCAATGCAAGTAGGATCAAAATGGCCATGATTCAGTTAATCCCTCAAATTAAATGAAGGTCAACCACTTTTAGATATTGGTGGAACTTATAGGAAAAAAAATCCAGTTTCTGAACAGTATTGCAAGAGAGAACCAGAGAATCAGAAAGGCGCCACATGATCATTGACCTTAGGTGAGGCCTAACAAACAAACAACTCTTATTTTGGTGTTTTTCATGGATTTACTTCAAATAAAGGTGGTGCATTTTTTTTTAGTTTAGCCAAACAGTGATGTGTCCAAAAGTACAATTTAAAATCCCTGCCTTGGTAAGGGCCCTGTCACACCTTGTCGATTTAGCCAGCGTATGCCCAACGTTCCAAAATCTCCTAAAATGCTGGATTTTTTCACCTTTAAACGTATGCATCTGGACTCGTTATAAATACTCTTATTGATAACTAGTCCAGAACTTATGTCCAACGACAACCTAACTTATGCATAATGCCAATGAAATGATGCACAAGCATTACGAAGCATCAGTTTTATGAAGCATATATATCAAAACGCTGTCAATACGCCATTATACAGTAGCTGGAAGTTGTAAACACGTTCAGCGGTCATCTGGAACATGTCCGATATGTTGACATGCTTTGGAGAGAAGTTCTTGATAGGTTACACATCAGTTATGTAGAAGTTACTCATAGGTTTCAGCATGCTTCACTGTGCTAATAATTTATACAAAAACGTAGCCATAACTTATTCAACATATTCCAGTGTTTTTGCCAGCATTTTTCATATGTCAGGCATACACTGGTCTAAATCGTCAAGGCGTGACATTGGCTGACCATGTTGCCCTTTTTTGTAGATAAAACAGCCACTGAGTCAAACTGTTTTAGCTTCTAAATATGCTCAGTTTAGTGCTAACAGGTTTGAAACAGACAAATCCACTAAGTATGACTTAGGGATCAACTTCAGCAAATCTAAAAAGTATTTTAAAGAAAACCTAGCCTACTGCAGCTGAGGATTACAGTAAGGTCTCGGCAACTCAAGCATATAAGAATGAGATGTTTAGATTTCCCTTTTTGGTGTCAACATCTTAACTTAGTAGGTCATCCCAGTCTTTTAAGTAACCTTGTGAAGCTTAACTAAGCCAGTGGGATTGTAAGCTAAAGGCAGCTTGTCCCCCATGTTCTGCCTGTCTGTTTTCTTCCCTTGGACTCCGGCTTAAAGACCGGCAGCTTGTTTCTATTAAGAAACTGTCAGGGAGGGGCAGTAGGCACATGACAGCAGGGGAGACAGTAACTCCAGAGATTATCAGAGCTCCATTCTCAGAGTCACCCTAAAACAAACATGTACATGGATGACCACAATGCACTGTGAAAACACAGCAGAGACAGTCAGGATTTTATGAACCAGACCCATTGTCTGGAAGCCAAAACCATTGATGTAAGCAGGAGGTTAGGGAAGGCAGACCAAATTAATCACCGCATAACATGAGAAGAAGACCAATCAAAATGTAGAGGAGTCTTACTTGAAGTACAGTGAGTTGCTGCTCCCCAAACCTGGTGGCAGAAGTTGTACAAACAATCCCTGAGAGGATGGAGACAACGCAGAGCAAGGACAGGGAATTAGTAGCCATATTTGTGTTTGCCCAACGATCTCCCTCCTCTCCGTCTCTGTCACAAGCAGTGTCCTCTGGGCTTCTTCACCCGTTCACTTAACTTTTCCGCTCCTCCTAAGGTCCAGATTCAGCACTGCCCCCTTGCCCGGCCCTTGCTGAATCCAGTTAAACTAACTCTTGTGAACTTCCTCTCTTCCCTCTCCTCCCTCCCTGCCCTGATTTCTCTCCCCTTGTGGGATTGCCTCTCCCCTGAGCCAGGCCCAAATAACATACAGATGGGAAGCTGAGAGAAATGGTAAGAGAGAAAGTAAGAACTGCAAAAAGGCAAGTGAGCAGCAGAAGGATTTCTGTCTCCTAAAGGTTCAAGGCAGACAGCACCCATCCCAACTGCTCACCCCACCCCCAGCCCAACTGGCCGAGTCATACTCAGGAGTCTCCATTTCCAGGACCATGGCACCCTTTTCACCTTGGGTTGAGCCATCAGAGTACCCCTCCCCCCTACTCAGCCAGGGTGGGCAGAAGGTTTAGAGCTTCAACACTTACCCTCAACTCAGCCGACAGAAAAGAAACAGCTGCACAGATATTGTGGCCCAGCTCCACCTCACAGTCCCAGACATTAGCTGTATGTTTGTTTACCCTGGTCAGCGACTTGAGAGGCTGTTGAATTTACAGGGACTGTGTGAGGCCACTACACAGGAAGAGCATGAACAACAAGCTGCAAGGATACTGTAAGAAAAAAAAGAAAAATGGTGGGAAAGCTGCTTTTTCGTGCTTGTGGGGCCATGTAGAGGCTGAGTGTCTCAAGTGACTAATAAACAAGTTACATTCCAGTAATGCACGGTAGAGATGTCTCACTTATAGAATCTGGCTCTGCTTTACACAGTCAGGTATGAATATACTGCATTACTAGTGTAACTGGACACAAAAGTAGGACAAATAATAGTTTTAACTGTAAAAACCTGCACTGGCAAAGCACCAATCATTCATTCAATTTGCCAAGTTTTTTATGTGAGTGAGGGGGTCATTTCATTGTGCACATGGGACGTTCAATGTGTGTTTGGGGGGCAGAATACTCTTGTTTAGTGTTTTATAAGCTGGTGGTAAATGAATATCGGTGACCCCAATGCACCCGTAGAGCATGATAAGCTGTACACTGGTGGCTCACTTTTGTTGCAATCCTGACACCATAATGAAAGCATTTACTCAACCATCCTAATAATTGAACACAGGTGGTCCGGCATCTTCAATGCCCACAGAAGTGGGAGTGCATGTTAAAATATTAGAGCTGGCAGAGCCAATCCTGTGGTGCAAAGTACACCAAGGCTACAAGCTTTCAGCAGTCTACAAATATAGATCTCCTAACTTCATGTGTCCCTTGGATTAGCTCCAGAACAGTGAATTCCCACCATTCAGTGGCTGCAACACCAAGGATAAGGTGTATCTTCCAACCCAGCATAAACCCCCCGACTCTAATTCGGTGGAGATGTGATCTCAGCAATGATGAGTCATGCCTCTCTGCCTGGAAATCTGTTGGGCTAGTGGGCAGTTGCCACAGGAACAGCGCCTGTCTGATTAGTGTGAAACACCTGTCATTCAATCCATCAGACTAGACAGGAACTGAACAATTAGTTCTAAAGTGGCAGTAGTGTTCTTTGACAAACATGGATGCCTCCAGTAAAGCAAATACAAATGAAAATTACTCTTAATTAGAAACACTTATCATGTAATAACTACCGCATTTAATAACTAGAGGGGGCATAATACTTGGACTGGCACCAAAGGCTTAATGGGATTAGTTGGGTTAACCTTACATATATCACCATACCAGGTTGCAAATTTCTTGTTCATGGTTGATGGTGACTGGTATCACCATACCGAGTGGTGACTTGTATCGCCTCAGCTACTGGGGACTGGCTTCACAACACCTGTTAGTGACTATCGTTGCCACACCTAGTTGGCGACTGATGTCCCAACAGCTAGTGGCTGCTGCCGTCATCACACCTACCAATGACTGGTGTCCCAGAGCTAGTCAAGGCTGGGGTAATGATAAAGATCCCTATAGTGCAATAAATTGCTGAGTATATTATATAGTGACTATGAGATTTCAGATGCTGAAAAAGCCCTCCGAACAAATGAGTGCTGAGCGAAAACCGTATAGGTTATTCAAAAAATGGTTTCACTGTAAGCAGCCATCCCTCGACTTCGATTGTGCTTTGGTGAATGTACGTCATTCAGAACAATATTTATGACGTTAAAATGCTTAGTCACATTCATCTTCAATCTTCTTGTTGAAAACCAATGAAAACAACGGTCAAAATTTCATGAGCTTTTGGTCAGTCTGGAGGCGCTTTGAGGAAAAAAATAAATCCTACGGCACCAATAAGTAAATAAATAAATAAAGAGTCATTTTTTTGACCACAATAATAACAGGTGCCTCCATGCATTGCATGGAGCATAGAATAGCATTATATGCTCCTTGCACTGCAATGGCAGGCACCAATTTCATATTTAAAGTATTTTCAGAAGTCTGCATTGTGAATATGACCGGAGTTTTCCTTTAACAGAAAACAACAGATTCTATTCAGGGTTCAGACCAGGAAGCTGCACACCTCTATGCAGCTTCTCTACTGTAACTCTTTATTTACCTTATCCAGACAGTATTTTGCCCAAAATGCCTGAAATCCAAAAAAATTATAAAACAATCTTAAAGAACTTAGAACTCTAAACTAAATTTAATATGAGTGCAACTGAATTATTCTTTTTGAAAAGTCTAACTATATTTTTTAACCTAATATCTCTCTCTCTTAGGGTTTGTTGACTTGATTTGTGACAATCAGATGATTTTATAGATTTTTTTACAGAAACCTTGTGGCTGTAAGAGGATAATGGCTACATAAAAGAGGCAACTCCCTTCAGCTGTTTGCATTTTACATGCCCAAAAATCCTGGGCCAGGAGGAGTAGCAACAACATTTCAGTCTGACTTGTTGACGTCCAAAGCCAGGGAAATGCTAAAAACAAACATTTAACCCTTAGTTTCCATCATCCAAATTATAAAGCAACAAATAACTTATTTTTGTAACGTTTTATCATCCACCAGGTCCTTACTCTCAAATCTTAGATCAATTTTCTGAGTTCCTATCTGGTTTAGTGTTAAATACTGACTGGGGGGATTTTTACATTCATGACGACAGGGACAGTGGGAGCTTAAATGCAGCCTTTGACTCAATTGGCTTTGTTCAAAATTTGAATAGTTCCACAAACAGTCTTTCCTCACAACTCTTCCTACCAGAACATTTTTAGTAACCTTTAACTTAATAGAATTCTTCTCCCCCAAAAGTAGGTTTCGCTTTAGCAGATGTTCCAAAAAGTAAAAAAAAAAAAACAATCCACTGGACTTTGTTTCCAAGTTTGAAGATGCTTTTTCAATTCAAAATGTCAGAAATAGCTTTCAGTTCCAGGTTTTATACAGTAGCCCAACAAAACCTTGTTTTTGTTTAGAAAACATTAAAATTGAAAGGACGAATGGGTCCACCCCTTTGGCTTTTCAGCTTTCAAAAACCTACAATGCAGCAATTGAGTTGATCCCTTCCCGCTGTCATCACAACCCCAACCCCTATAGAGGGGACCAAATCACCTCGCCTATTTAGACAGGCCAACAATTCCCTCTAATGTCCCCCTTTCAGAGACATAGAAAGGTATGGGACATTGCAGGCTAACAAAGAAGCCAAACGACCCCCATTCCAAAGGGGTGGACCCGTTTGTCCGTTTCAATTTGCACGTTTTCAAAACAAAAACAAGGCTTTAATGGGCTACTGTATAAAGCTTGGAACTCAACACTATTTCTGCAATTTTGAATTAAAAAAGCTTCCTGGATGGGAAGCAAAATATCTTCAAACTTGGAAACAATGTCCAGTGTGAGTGACCATAGGACCCCAATTTCTAGGGAAATTTCCCATTTTCGACCACCTGTCCCCGGCTAAAACTGTCCCCATGAAATGTCCCCGATTTTACCGTTTTATGAATGTGGGGGAAAATGTTACATATAAACTGTTATTATAGTGGAAAGACCGCACGAACCTGCACACAGAAACTGTTAACGTATAGATGAGGAGTAGAGTGTCTGTTTTAAAACAGACAAGGAAGTTTGTTATCAGTGCCGGCTGGACGCAGCTACACTCTGTTACCCTGAGATCCCACATCCTTCCTAACCCCCCCTACAGTCTCTGCTCTGTTCCTCCCTTCTTCCTCAGAGCTCAAGGAGAGCATGTGCGATATTATTAAATTCAAAACACACGAAAATTGCTACTTAATTCAATATGACATATTTGAAAAAATATGCGTAGTTTCTGCCAAAATATTTAATTTTTGTAATAGGGATAACTAAGATAATATAATCTTTACATGTACATCCTATCACAATAATAACAGCTTATTTCAAACAAAAAGCAAAGCTTTATCTATTTACACTTGAATAGAAAATAGGTTTAAGACTGTGACAATACATTCCTGTTAGGTTTCACTATAACTTTATTAAAGGACACATTATTTTTATTCCCTAAGAGCTTATTTTTCATTCTGCCTAATGAAAAAACATGTATTTTTGTTTGGCTGTTTCCTGTTGTCCATGACAATGATCCAGATTTATAGATGTCTTTTATTGGTTTTAATTTAATCTGGACATAAAAATCTAACATAACTTATTTAATAAGGACACAGATTTTAATCCAGGCTGCTGTAGGCTACCCAATGCACTGCAGCTGTCCAGGATATAGTATATACAACTGGAGGCCATTTCATTTTACAGTGATGATTATGTAGAAAAAAATATATATGTTTTTCATTTTTTATATAAAAATAAAAGTTTCATTTTAATTTTTTGTAATGGAAAAAAAAGGAAATTCCCACAGACTCTGTTTTGGTGCCAACTGGTCTGTCCCTGAACACAATGTTATGTTGCTCACAAGGGAAGAAGACAGAGAAGACTGAATGACCAGATGGCTCTAATAAACACTATTGATTGATTAATATTATTTATCTTAGGAAATGGAAGAGGCGCATTCCTGGGCTTCGCACTTGAACTTTGTTTAAAATTAGATAAATATGTAAAAATGGATGAAAACATCACTGTTCCCATTTCCTATTTTAATTTTCATAAAATTTATTTATTTTTATGTATGAGCTTTAAATGTCCCCATATTTGATTGCAGAAATCTGGTCACCTTAGTCCAGTGGATTGTTTTTTCAACATTTTTGGAATGATAAGGACCTGGAGGACTGAGAATCTTCACCAGCTTTAGCAGATGGTTATCAGCTAATGCAGTAACAAATTTCAAGAAAAAAAATAAATAAATAAATAAATAAATAAACTGT